TTTCTGTGGAGGTCCTTTCGCAAGGATGTAACGCAGTGTCTGTGTAACATAAAAGATTCCAGTAAGCACTGTTCGATAGTACTGTCCTTGTAGGTTATCGTGCGTTCAAGAGTAGCTGCAGACTGTCTTCCAAAAGAGATAGAAGCGTTGGTGAATTTTGGAAAAATGACGCGTTTCTACATTCTACTCGCCGTAACTTCCTTCGGAATGAACATATTCTGAATCCGAAGAAAGTTCTGTGCTCAGTTCATCAAGGTAAGTCTTTTATACAGCATATCCTTGATATTCCGATTTCAATATTCTCAAATCTTTCTGTAGACGCCTTTTCGCGAAGGTGTAAAGCAACGCACGTTGCCCCTTGTAGACTCCAGCAAGGATCTTTCGATAGCAATTTTTCTGTAGATTACGTAGCGCTAAAAAGTAGTCACAGGCATCTTTCCAATGGAGGTAGAAAGGTTGGTAAATCGTAAAAAAAATCTCGTTGTCCCAAATTCATACGAGGCTATCTTGCTAAGCGGATTTGATTTTTGTATCACCAGGTCGGATAATCCTTATGAACAAGTTTTTCGAGATGTCGGGTGATTTCATTTCTTCTTGTCTGACGCTCTGAAGCTGGCCGGTGGGTTTTGGTCAAAATGTTGATGATCTTGAATTGTAAAGAAACGCCGCTCATAGAGGAGGTTTTTGAACACGCTGCTTATGAAAATCTGTTCTCTGTCAAGTATAGGGTCTTTTTGCAGAGATATGGTGAGATAACTGCGACGGATTACGGAGGCGAAGTTACGAAAGCTCGTAACTTCGCCTCCGCCTCTCACGTATCTGTCAAAAAACCTGCCTGGTTGCTTTTCTAGTCAAAGTTACTAGGAGATGTGCTATCGAATGGCGCATGACTCAGGCTCCAGTCTATAAAATTCGCCGAGTTACGAGAGTACGAAAACACGTTCACATGAATTTTGCCCATAATGTAAAGATCACATATTTCGTTGAAATTCCACCATGAGTGCTTGTACAACACGATGTTCAAATCTTTTCACATTCTTAATGAATCTTATTGTGTTAGATTTGGTGGTTTGAGCTCTAGCCACAAAACAGCTTTGATATTCAATTGCTGAAGCACATGCAAGCACCATATTCAATACAGTGGAGTAATTGGGAGAAGCGAACATAATATCCGCAATGCGAGTGTCATACAAGCACTCACGGTGGAATTTCGTAGAAACGTAACGTATTGTAGAAACGCGTCATTTTTCCAAAATTCACCAACGCTTCTATCTCTTTTGGAAGACAGTCTGCAGCTACTCTTGAACGCACGATAACCTACAAGGACAGTACTATCGAACAGTGCTTACTGGAATCTTTTATGTTACACAGACGCTGCGTTACATCCTTGCGAAAGGACCTCCACAGAAAAATTTTGAAAAAACTGGAAATGGAATATCGAGAGCATATCGTATATCAAAATATTTGCCTCGACGATCTGAACACAATGCTGCTTCTGGATTTGGAATATATTCATTTCGAAGGAAGTTATGGCGTTGCGTACTCTGCGTGATTCGCATGGTTTCGCGGATCCTGAAATGTCGCGAACTTCCCGGATTATCGCGCACTCTGGCGAAAATCCCGGAATTCCGCGAAGTCCACGGAATTTTGACATTCTGTGGGCGGTATTGTGATCTTGCGCAGATCTTAGAACAAATTCGATCAGAGTGGCTCTCTACCATACTCCTGTAGTATACTGTCTATGTGTCATCAGCGACAGATCAATGGTAATACTGTTATCAGCACACTGAATTCAACCAAAATAATAATCGATAATTCTGCAAACTAATATTGTATTCGGAATCCCAATGCTCACTTACCCCCTGTGCCAACTCTCGGCCCCGTAGGTAAACTCTGCAAAAAATCGATAAAAATCGATAAAATCGATATCGCTCGATGACGAAAAGTAGCCTATGACACCCGCCGGGGCCCGAAGTGTATGTGTGCCAAGTTTAGTCCGGATCGGTTCAGAAATGGAATTTTCTATTCGGAACATACGTACAGACAAACAGACAAACAGACGTTCAGCTTCATATACAAGATGATGCGTCTCGCCGAGCTGAATCGAACGGTGTCCTCGGATTCAGAATTCGTCCATTCTGAAGCGAGATGTGGCCAAATTGACGATCATTCCGACGGACTCTAGTGGAGTGTTGCACACTATGCCGCACTCTGGCGCACTCCGCCGCACTCTAGCGGACTGCGTCGCACTCTCGCGCACTGCGGCGGAGTGTGGCGGAGTGCGCAGCAGTCCGGCGACTTTTTTGACGAGTTATGAGCGGTATTGTATGTCCCGCACTGTATGTGATACACGCAACTGATGCTGACTAACGCTCGATAAAAATGTTATCAAGAAGAAAATAACAAAAATATAACATCATTTTTGCACGCAAATCCGCGCATCTAGCTGTCAAACTTGCTGTCATCCGCAACATGTTTAGGACGGGTGTGCCGACTTTGTCGGCACCTTCCTTTCAAGCATCTTACTACTCCTGCCTGAGAACCGTAAAGGCCATGCCATAACCATGACCTGCTGTAACATAAGTATCTTGTCCCCCAGACGTCTGTAACATTACTTCGCCACGCCTGCATTCGCCAGCATTCTAGTACTGCACCCATGCAGGTCGTCTGACTCAGTAAGCCACGGAACCGCCACAACGGGACTCCTGATCACGACCCTCAGATGTGCGTGCACCCCAGGCTTGACCCTGTATATGATTCTTGTAGGGCGCAGCTTATACTTCAGAAAAGTCATACTTGAGTATTCGGACGAACAGGAGAGAAACTACATGTTTTTGTTAATGGGATCTTTTGATTAATCTGTGGCTGTATTTATCGATTTCGGGGTAATTTACCCTCAAGAACACGTTCAACCCTTGAGGTGAAGCCTACCTTTGCTTCGTGAATACGTGTTTCATGCTTTCTAGGATAGAACTTACCCTTAAGGACAAGATTGACCCTCGGGGTTCTTTGATGATACGGCCACTGGATGGGTAACAAAAAGTAAAATGTGTAAAGTTTCTCGCATGGATTCATTGGACCAAAGCTCCATGAAGAGTTATTCAATTGAAAAGGATTTAAAAGTGTGTGAGGCCGCGGATATCTTCAGTGCCTATCAAATTTGCCTTCCATGTGTTAAAGTGTGCGGCTCGGCAGAATGACAGCTTTAGAATATTCATCGTTTTCGGTTCCTCTGGATGAGCTAAGTCTAAGACTGTGCTTTGCAGCTTCAAAAGATATCAATAACCCGCTTTTACAGACGTGAAAAGTGCTATTTGGGCGACGGCGTATGCCTGCTGTTTAGAGCGCGATTGACTGATGAGTGGAGAACACCGTACCCATCTCGACGGCAATTGGATTGTTGGCTCCAGCAGCCACTTTCGCGACCCGCCAAAACAGCACTTTTCACGTCTGCAAAAGCGGGTTATCGATATCTCTTGAAGCTGCAAGCACATTCTTGGATTTAGCTCATCCACTCAGACAATCGCCGGGGCAGGCGATCAAACTCGCGCTTTCTTGCAGGGGCCAGCAGAATTTTGGGGCGTGGCCAAATTTGCAACTAGCGGTGCTCTTTGCTGTCGCATGTTCTGCCAGCGGGCAGCAATATAAAATTTTTTGCGAGTGGTCGTCAAATAGTTTCTTTCTACGCGTGCTGGTCTTTTCAGTAAGCGCCCGAACACTTTTTACGCAGTTTGAGCCGTACGCCGAGCAAAAGTGAGACGCTACATGGCAGAGATGTCACCGAGTTTCAATTACCGACTTTGGGGCACTTTCCCTCGGCGAAAGGTACCTACGGGCTATGCTGTCCCTCACAGATGGCCATGCGGCCACCAATAATTTCGCATGTTTTCGCGGAATGTCCGTGAGAATGCGGCCATGGGCCACAACTAATCTATGAAAAAGCCGCAGTTGTGCCTCAAGCATTCCTCCAGAATTTAACCAAGATTCTTCCGAATATCTGCAAGCGGCCCGCAAGAAATCAGCGAGCTATTTTTTCGGTACCTGCTTGTCCATAAATCGCATGACCGCCTGCCCCGGGCAATTATCTGAGCAGGGAAACCAAGAACACTGAATATCTCAAAGTTTTCATTCTGCCGAGCCGCTGCCTTTGAGAAAACTCTTTGCATGATGTTATCTTTTTTGTACGCATTTACGAGTGTACCATACAAGAAGACTCCTGAGCTTGACAAGTGCTTAAGCTTTTGAACTTGAAGCTGAGAAGCTGGGAGCTTGTGTATAGGTCTGAGTGAGTATGTCGCGAGAGAACTGGGAATGAATGGAGTAAGAGAGCATAGGAATGGACGGGCAACACGTGGGATAGGCTAATGACGATTACTCTTACAATTATAATTATTAATTTGAAGATTTCGAATTTTGAGCAAAGTAGGTGTTTCTGTAGGCGTAAATAAGCATGTTGCGTTGATGATTTCGAGCTTTCAACTGTGAAATTAGAAAACGGGTTTGTGTATGGGTACTTAGGTGTCTTTCATTGTGATATGCATACAAGGATCGAGCAGAATCGACTCTGCCAATCAGCTTGATATAACATATCACATTTCTGACTGCCGTATCAGCAAAATCCGTTCCATACTACATGGATTCCATATTACCACAAGTTCCATACTACATGGATTCTTTCATTGTGCCAGTTCTGAAATTCTTGTCTGAATATTTGACAAGTCGCTACAAATTATTCGTTTGTTCGCAATTTCTTCTTTCGAATATATTCGATTGCTCGAAATCTCTTTATTCTAAAAGTTTGATATTCGATCGATCGACAATTTCCGTTCCGAAAAATATGATATCCGATTATCCGACGATTTTGACTTGTAAAACATTCAGTATTCGAATATTCGGCGTTTTTCTGTCTTCGAAAATGTTCAAGATTGACTATTCGATATTCTTGGCTTATTTGAAAAAATCTCGGATATTCCCAAGTATAGTGACCATCAATACTTTGCAGGTCTATGGAAGAAGATGCTAATTTTGCTTTGAACTTTGACAGTGATGTATTTGAGAGCAGCTTCATTTACTGGAGCAATCTGCCAGCTCATTTGAAAGTCCAGATTCTACGCAATCTTCCGTATCCAACTTTGAGAAGCTTCATGTTTCTCAGCAAAGAATGTATGACTTTGACTTCATCTGTGAAGACTCAAGCATACGGTGTTTATTTGCAGAACGATCCCTTCTTAGGTTATTCAGAGTATGTGAGTATTTTTTGGTGTACAAACAATAAAAAATCATAAGGTCTATGAAACCTCCATCCATTGTTTGCAAGTTCCCATGGAAAATCGTTGTTTTTTGGGCTTTTTTCGCCGTCATCTTTAAACAACTTTGTTTGGAGTAGGAGTCTCAAAAGCAAAGAAATTGGCGTAATTTTCAGGTGGAAAGCAAAGAGGCATCAGCGACTATCATCATTTATTACATACCACCCGAAGCAGTGGGTATTCCAGATTCGCACAAGCCTTACACACTCACTTTTGTCGACGTTGAGGATGGAGGTTGTGTAGTGAAAAGGTGATCTTTTCCTACCAAATTGCATAGATACAGCTTGAATAGTTTGCGCCTTCCTTTTTTTGAAATTTCAATTCTGTTTCTTATAAGGGAATGATCCCAACTTGAGGTGGCGAATTGGAATGAATCGCATACCATTAGATGCGTCTTGATGAGCTGATTCCAAATCTGTCTTCTATATCTGCGACAACATTATTTGCAAAAAGTTATGAGCGGTTGAAGATGTGAAGTTATTGCGATTTTAATGCATTATGTGCTTCAAAATCCAACTTGAAAGTGCACGACTAGCATGATATTGAGTGTATCGTCGATTCATGACACGCAAAGACTGGGCGTCGTTGCGTCCGACCGAAATAGCTTGTGCATAGGAGAGACAGCAGATGGCAAGAGAAACGAAACAGCTTAATCACGGAGACGCTGATAGGTCCGCAGTCTTTGCGTGCTGTGAATCGCCTATACTGATTTCACGGAATGCTCACTTTCAAAAGAAACACAAATAAGTGTTTTTGAACAGCTAAAAAGCAACTAAAGGTAAAAGCTCTGGTAAAAGCTATGAGCTATGAAAAATCCAAATTTGGCAAATATACAGCGCCATTTCTCGAACATTAGCTGTTCAAAAACACTTATTTGTGTTTCTTTAGAATGTGAGCATTCCGTGGAATCAGTAAACTCAATATCATGCTAGTCGTGCACATTAAAGTTGGATTTTGAAGCACATTATGCATTTAAACCCCAATAACTTCACATTTTCAACCGCTCATAACTTTTTACAAATAACGTTGTCGCAGATATGGGAGGTAGATTTGCAGTCTCATCAAGACGAATCTAATGGTATGCGGTTCATTCCAATTCGCCACCTTAAGCTGGGATCGTTCCCTTGTTAGAACAAAAAGTTTTCTGTAATTTGTGCTTCTAAAATAAATTGCACGAATTGCGCTCTCTTACTGAAATGCTAAGAATGGCTTTTCTTTAGGTAGCCTTTTCGGCAGGAAAATATAAATTTGTACTGTTTCGTCATAGCTCATAAACGGTCTTGCCAACCTTCACATAGATCGCAGTGAAAGATTGCAGTAGTTTTTTGTTATTAGGTCACCTCAAAAGTGCTTCCGATTATTCTACCAAGTTTGAATGAAACCAAACTTGCCGGAATTAACTAACGGTCAAAAGAATGTTAAAATGCGTAGATAGATAGATCATTGCTTTTCTTTATCTAAGCTGAGTTCTTATGAATAACTTTAAAATATTGCAATTTGCGGTGTGACATTTCTCACTATTTGAAACCTCCAATGTATTTTTTCCATACCGATCTTTGTGAAACTATTTAAAACCAAGTATTTAAACCATCAGGTGCACCGGAAATTACTTACATAGAATTTTCTCAGAGGGTTCTGAGGAAAATTTTGAAATGTGAATACTTCGTGTAGTCCCTTATCTTGCTTTAGTAGAGAATGAGTTTTGAATTTAGCAAAATTTACAGATTTTGATTTCCCTGCGTTAGCTGAAAGCTGTCGCCCGCGTTATGATCCATTACTACAACCTTAGGTGATGCAAATCTGCGCACAACCTCTTCTTTAGTAAGAATACTAAACCTTCCAGCTACGCATTTTGGAGAAAGTTACAGAAAAAAAACGAAAAAGCTTAAAAGTGATCAGAAATGAGGCGGCAGTTCATAATCGTGCAACTATTAGGTTGTCCCATAAGTCTTTTCATACCTGAATTTTAAGCGGCATAAATCAGTTCTTCTTGAACTGCTGATAAAATGCAGGATACCGTTCGACAGATCAAACTAAGCTCTACAAGATGGCGTTCAAAAGTTCGCACCAAGCTCAATCCGCAACAAGTTCCAAGCCAAAATAAAAAATTTTCCGAATTTCCGAAAAAACGGAAATCATCATATCTCAGTCCAAAACAGCTCTGCAAATTTTCCACTTTTTCATGCATATACTCTCCTCATCGGATATCTATACATGCGCTTGCTGCATTTTTCTGATGGCTAGAAACCAAGAAAAAAATAATGCGCTCAATTTTCATACTTTGCCTGTATCACTTCTGTGTACCCCGCAAATGGTTGATTATATAGCTTATTCATTCAGAATTACTGTCAAAAATTTGCAGCCTATTAGGTGCTGTAGTTCTTGAGAAAAATCGAATTGAAGGTCCGAATATGAAAAGACTTATGGGACAACCTAATACTAAAGCGAATAGAATAATTCAGGAGAAAAGATAAAAGAGGGAGATCAATAGTCACAAACGGCGTTAGATACCAAAACGAGAAGAGTGCTTCTGCGGCAGTGCGAGTATTCTTCCAGCTAACAAAAAATATCAAGGCGCAATATCTTTCCATTGAGATGGTGAGTTACATAAAGGCTTGATGTCTCATTGATGAAGAATTTTTGCTCAGACTTCGGAAAATGCGGAAATCGAGAGAGTACTGGGTGAGCTTTCACCAGTCTTTCCTCTTATCTGCGGCACGCTCACCATTCGCGCAGAAAGTAAGACTCTTGCGCCATCTCTCCTTCGCTTTGTGTCTCCTGGTTGCGGGCTAAACATTTATAACTTGGATCCTTTCTCTGAAGAGATTTTCATGGATTCAGCATTCTGTGATTCAGAAGCGGTAACTTACGGTCAGGGGACTTTATAGATATGTAGACAACATTTTTGTCTTTAGGTGCGGCAGGCCCCTGAGTTTGATACTGAAGCAATGGTTGCGGTCAGCGATGATCAGTTATCCCTTCTCAGAGCACACTGTCTTCGTATAAAAGCTCCTTACATCTCATCGAAAGGGATCAATAAGTTGATTATGGTACGTGTTTGTTTATAAAATGAAGTGGATGAACAGTTAAACATAAACATGTGATAAACACGCTAAGCTACAAACTTCGAAAAATACTCATTTTCATAGAACAAATCATGAACAGAACAGAACATGCGCAAGACAAATCCTGCTTCCTTTTGGCAGCTTTGAAGATGCACTGCATTTTTGATAATCAGATTCACGTACTTTGATGACCTTCAATGAAAGGGCGTGAATTATACGGAAGCCCGTACGCACGTACATTCCCGCTGGGGAGAGAGATGATCTGACCAGGGCTTGGCATGACGTGGCTTTTTAATTTTTTGAAAACGAAGTCCCTAAACTTCGCCACAAATATACGACATCACCAGTGGCGTACCCAGGATTTCGGCTCGGGGGGGGGGGGGGAGCGGCAAAAATTTTTTCAAATGAAGGGGCGTGGCGTCAGCCACGTATTCCGGAAAATTTTTGGGGGGCTTCGCAAAATTTTTGCGGGCCCGAAAAAAATTTTTTGTGAGGCTAATTCGAATTTTTAAAAAATTTAAAAAATTATTTTTGTTGTATACAAAAATAAACAGTCACTTGCACATTTTTATAACTTATGTAAGTAACTTTCAAAAATTTCGCGACCCGTTCTCGCGCCCCTCCCCGCCCCCTCTCGGTACGCAACTGGACATCACCTATGGAACTATCATGAATGGATCAAAACGAGTAATGAAAAACAATGGAACAAAACATAGAAGCAACATCGAACAGACGGAAAAAAAACTAAAGATATTCGTATTCTCCGAATTGGCGGCATGCTGTGTTCGGCGCGCACCCTTTTGCGCTTGGAGCAGGCTTGCCGCCGCCATATAAAATATCTGGAGGGCCGTAACTAAGCGAGGAAGAGGGGGTTTAGGAAGATTTAAGAACTCACAAGGGAAGTATTTTCAATGGCCGTGGTCTTTTGATGTGAGGTGCACACCATCTGAAGCAGCTTCGAACGCTGATTTCAAATCTGCTTTCCTTTTCTGCGGAGCGATCTTCTGAAGCGAGTTATGGAAAGTCTGAATATTCTGTTTTGGGGCGCTCCTTGAGTTTGAGGACGCTGCTACGTACGTTGGTGATGCAGTGGTGTAATGGTTAGTGTTATTGGCATTAAAGGTGAAAGGTTGATGGTTCGAATCCGGTTTAATTGAGGTCATTTGAAAGATTCTGAATTTATTTGAAACGCCACTCCAATATTGTTTCTCCAATAACTTAATGGGTACTCGCGAGCACAAGAATTGCGCGGAGGGTTTCTTCTACGCTGTTGTCGTTGTGAGAAATGTCTGTGTTTGCTCAATTTGTAAATTTGCTTCACCTCTGTACATGAATTTTTTGCGGAGAAAACCAAATCTCAACAAGCAGGCGGTTTGCCTGAATCTTTTTTTCCTTAAGTCCATTTGCCAAGGGCATTACAGCAAGTGTCTGCAGACGAATTAGAGTGGTTTTTAATCACATTCGTAGTGCAAAATGCTACGCTCTGCACTGGATTCGAACCATCGGGCTTTCGCCTCTAATGCCAACAACTAACCATTACACCACTGCACCACAAACGCACGTAGCAGCGCTCTCTAACTTAAGGATCGTCCCCAAAATAGGATTTTCAGGCTTCCATAACTCTCTTCAGAAGAGCGCTCCCCAGAAAAAGAAATCAGATTTGAAATCAGCGTTCGAAGCTGCTTCAGATGATATGCATCTCATATTAAAAGGCCACGGCCATTGAAAGTACCTTCCTCTTCAGTTGTAGGCTTTTTAATGTACAAGGTGTTAAACATGTGAACAAATCATGTGAAGGAAGGAAAAAATATATGACTTTTCTTTCACATCCATCTCAGGTGGCTGTCCAGGTGGCTGGAAAGCCGCCTAACTCCGAAAAAAGTTTGCCACGGCCTACAATTCACATAGTTCTTTCGTAATTTTTCGCACATAGTCCTAACTCCCTATTGCCTATCTATACACCAATTTTGGTGGTATTTCATTTTCTCTTCGCTGTAAACAAGTCTTTTGTTTATTTCGGGACAGGTTTGAATTCGCGCGCTCAACCGGCGAACATGTTGAAACAGGAAATTTTTGGTTTTTGCAGATCGATAAGGCAGAAATGACAGTTTGCGTCTTCCGTAGAAGATGGGTGACATAAAGGCAGAAGGCGATTGTGTGGGGGAGGGGGGGGAGGGCTGGGGTTTCCGCTCCAACGATATCCCCCTTGCTTTTTATTCCAAAACGACATCAGCTTGCTCCTTGGGCCACCTGTGCCGAGCCCTGGATCTGACCAGTGATGAGGGGGACGCTCATCTTTCGCTACTCTGGATAAATGTATTCTTCTTTGTAGTCTATGTTACAAAGGTTCTTACATCGTGATACTTGTGCTTGAATGGCAGAACATTGCTATACAAGCTGAAATTTTCACTGTTTCGTGTAATTCATTCTCAGGAGATCACTCCTTGTCTTCAAAGTCGTCTTCTTTCGAGAAATTGAAGAAAACGCCTCAAAGTTGTAGTGAGATCTACTGTGGCACTGCAGAGACAAATGAATTGTGCATGTTGTGAATTTTTCGCTCAAATATACCTATAGTTACAAATGGCTGCGAAAAACGCGCCCCTTGCCCCAATGCAAATCTCGCTTCCGCGCTGGACTCCCATCGACTTGTTGCGCACACTCTATAAGTTTCATCGCGAGAAAATTGGCTCTCAACGGAAATAACTCATTTTATAGGAATAATGACAAGAAAAGCAACTGATTTTATTGCGTAAATGATGGTCTGCCTATCTAGATGCATTATTAATACTGGAGGTGGCAGCGATAGCAGTTATGATAGAGTGGGAGATGATATAGATGACTCATTCTTGTAACTTTTTGTATGTGTAGACTTCTCGATGAAACTTCTTTGTAACAAGCTACTGTAGAGCATATTCCGTTTTCTTGATGCTGAATGATTAAGAGCTACAAATAAACCGACGATTTCGTGTACTACTTTTGCTCGTGGAAGTCATTAGAACCTATTCACTTTCGAAGTATGCTTACTTACTACAACTGTATAGATTTATCACCTAACTTTCTTTCTTACAACTAACAAACTTAAACGTCATCTCCATGCTTGCTTGCTTTGAGATTTTTCGAAACTACCATAGAAGATGGCTCTCCACGAACTTGGGCTTTGACTTCCAATTTTAGGAAACTTCAGGTCACAGCTTAGATCTGCACTGCCAGTTATTGCCAAGAAATAATCCTTCCATTATATTACACGCGCGTGAAAGTTTTTTTGATTTTCCTATTGTATTAGAGTGAACGGTAAAAAATGGGGCAGCTTGTTTTTTATTACATTTTGAGGTTTTTTGTTCTCACCAACAACAAGCGGGCTGCAACTCAAACATCGCTCACATAACCGACCTTCACCTATTATTCTGGCAGCGCGTTACCGCTGCTCTCTCATAACCGTACGCGTGGCGCCGTGAAGAACTCAGACAGAATTTTGGAACAGTTCGCAATCTTGCATTGCTATATCATAAAGTCGTAAAGAAGATGAAGTACCATTCGAAAGAGCTCTTTATGCTCTTTCAAATGATATGTTAAATGCATGAGATTTCTTTTCAATTTTAGAAAAAAGCGAAAAAACCTGAAAATAGCAATTTTTGGCGCAATAAAAAACAAAAAATCATGTTTTGCCCTATATTTTCCAAAGATAGATAAAATTTGGGATATGCTACATAGGGATGGATAGAGCGTAAAAAGCTCTATCAGATGGTACCTAGAAAACATGCGTTCACCTGCAAAGAATTGAATAACGCGTATCGTTTTTCTCGGAGCTGCTAATGGCCATATTTCCTGACTTTGAAAGTTGAGGCCACGAAGCCGTTGTGGGTTTGGTGACTGTCCCACCACCCACTTCAGCAGTGGTACTTTGGGGTCTCACATGTTTCATTGCGCAGATGCTGTTCAAAGTTCATGATTCAAAGTTTAAAAGTTTAAAATTTTTAAGTTTAAAATTTTTTCATAATTTCGAAGTGACTTGTTGCATTTCAGCAAGTATTAAAATTATTAATTACTAGCTGGCTTACCCGGCTCTGCCGTATCCGGACCAAACTTGGCACACATACACTTCGGGCCCCGGCGGGTGTCACAGTCCACTTTTCGTTATCGATCGATGTCGATTTTACCGATTTTTATCGATTTTTTTGCAGAGTTCACCTACAGGGCTAGGAGTTGGCACAGGGGGGGGGGAAGTGAGCATGGGGATTCCGAATACAATATTAGTTTTCAGAATTACCGATTACTTTTATTGATTTTATCGATTTTTTGTAAATTTTGACATGCGAGGCTGGGATTTTGCACAGGGGGGTAATCGAGCATGCTGATTACGAACACAATATTAGTTTTCAGGATCGTCCATTACTTTTATCGATTTTATCGATTTTTTTGTAAAGTTTGACCTGCGGGGCTGGGAGTTTGCACAGGGGGTAATCGAGCATGCAGATTACGAATACAATATTAGTTTTCAAGATCGTCCATTACTTTTATCGATTTTATCGATTTTTTGAAAATTTGAGCTAGGGGGCTGGAATTTGGCACAGGGGTGTTGGCAGTTGGGAGGCCCGCCGGGGCCCGTAGTGTATGTGTGCCAAGTTTGGTCCGGATCGGTTCAGAAATGGAATTTTCTATTCGGAACATACGTACAGACAGACATACAGACAGACAGACATTCAGCTTTATGTATAAGATTACAAGTAGACCAGCATATAATTTTGCGTCCGTTGAACACGAGAGGTAGGTACGTCCGCAGTCGAAACCTTTTGAGCTAGCCAGTCGTCTGACAAGACACGGCGCGAAGTGGGCAAATGTCGTGTTGGAAATCGTTTTGAATGGAGGGGATATCTTACATTTAGGTACGTTTACATATACAGACACTCTCTCGACAAGTTATTATAACGATATGACTAAAAATTTAAAGTAGAAACCTCCTTTTCCACTCCATGCACATCTGAGGTAGACAAAATTTAGGCAACTTTCAATTCACGTAAGTTTTTCATTTAACATGAAGCTGTTCTATCTGTTCTACACCTAAAATTGAATATACAGTAATATTTCGCTTCCAAAACTCCTTCTCTCTTTTTTGTTAACAAAATAGCAACAGCGTGGTCATTTTGAGGAAGGAAGCACGCGCCAATCGAATATCCTGCGAAGCAGACGAAATCAAGTAGCAAATCGTAAAAATTGTTGAAAAGGCGAAGTCGTTTTGTCCATTTGTCACCTTTGTGCTGGGTCCTGTCGCCTGATGCGGACTTGGGTGCTTAACTGTTGATTAAGCGCATCAGGTTGTTGTTCGGTCAAGTAGGCTGTGCGCTCGCGATGCAATGTGGGTTTTCAAATGGGCAAAGGACAATTACGCAGGATCTAGTAGGTCACAACGTGAGCTAAATACCGAGTTTGAATGCTGGCGTAAGCTCCGCAACTCGCGAAAAACTACTGTCTTTCTTCTTCACTCCTCTTCTCTCCCCTCAAGCATAGTCTTCGTTTCTGCTCAGATAATCGCCGGGGGTAGGCGGTCATGCGAATTTTGAGCAAGCGGGCACCGCAGAAATAGTTTGCTAATTTCTTGCGCTCCGCTTGCAGAAATTTGGAATAATTTTGGCCGATTTTTAGACGAACGTTCGGAGAGCTATCGCGGTTTTTCTATGGATAAGTAGCGGCTTAGTGGCCGCACTCTCGCGGACTTATCCTTATCTTATGCAAAATTGTTGTGGGCCGCACGGTCCTTTGTGAAGGGCGCACTGCTCAGGGTACCCTCCGGTGAAAGAAGGTACCCTAAACTTGAGTAATTAAACCATCGATGACACCTCTGTCACATAGAGTCTCATCTTTTTTCGGCGTACGCCCGAAACTGCTTAAAAAAATCCGAGCGCTTGCTGAAAGTTTAGCCAGCGCTCGCTGACAGAAATTATTTGCCGATCGCTTGCAAAAAATGCTGTATTGCTGCCCGCTGGCGGAATATGCCACCGTAAAGGAAGTGCCGTCCGCTGAAGGGCCACGCCCAGAATTCTGCTGGCCGCCTGCAGAAAAGCAGCGTTTTTGCGGACAGCCTGCCCCGGCGATTATCTGAGTGGCATCCCTAGAGGCAAATTCACTAATCTCTTAAGCCATTAAGTTGGTTGAGGACTTAGCGCTTTATAATAAGAAGCCGAAAAAGGAAAACATCAATGTGATGGATAGTTTCAGTTACACTTTTTTTCAAATCTGAGAAGTGTCTGAAAAATATTGTTCAAGGCATGTTGACGGTGCAGGGCTCCAATTATCAGAACTCTCATATCCGCGTTCCGTGCCCAAAACACCACTTCGTGGTGTAGGTTCGTTCTATGACTATTTTTGTCAATGAACTAGCTTTCTGCGAGTGAGAGTTCTAAGGGAGCGTTTTGGGAGTCTTTCTGGCGCTTTTGGACCTTCTTCGGCGAAGTATGACCAGGGCCCGGCACGAATCGGTTTCTAGGATTTCTGAAAACGTATCCTTTGACCTTCGGAAGTTTTACAGTTTTCCTCTTTGACCTACCTACTTGGAAGAAGATGAAAACAAGAAAAATTTACTAATCTGAAGTAAAATACGTGAGGTTAGAGGTTACGCATGCTCAAGAATTTGGCGTTGGAGCGCGATATCTAACAAAGCGATTCATGAAGAAATTAAGGCAAACAAAGGAAAGGCAGTGAAATGAAAATTTCTTCATGCTCAGGGATAGATTTTTGACGGGGAATCCGTCATAGAAAAAATGAAGACACTTCACATAAGACCTATGTGAAGTAACAGAATTATATGCTCCAGGCGATCTCAGATCGTCTGGTGACCGTCTGGGGACGGAATTTTGGAAAAGGTAATGCTTCAAATAAGTTTTCAAATCTTTTTGCATAATTATTCTTTTGAAAATAATATTTTATGTATACAGTTCAATTTTGGTGTCATATGATTTTATGTGCGCTGTAAACAAGCAATTTGTCTAACTTAACCTTGCTTTCAAATCGCGCCCTCTTTTCGCCATAGAGCACTCAATTGTGTGATAACCTGTCCGAAAAGCTTGTGTTCGACTAAATGGCGCCTTTCTTGGTGCTCGGCCTCGATTCGTCAAAAACGATGTCTCCTTTGCTTTTTGCTCCAAAATCGAAGTCCAGCCTGCTTCCAGACGATCTGTGCCGGGCCTTGAGTATGACGGATCCCCTCTCAGACAATCGCCGGGGGCAGGCGGGCACCGGAAAAATAGATGGCTGATTTCGCGAATCCCGCTCGCGGATTTTTTGAGAGGCAATCAAGACTTTTCGGAACGTCGCTTGCTGAATTCTCGATTCCTCAGAGATTCAGCAATATATCTGCAGAAGATAAGAGCGAAAAAAGATTCGACAGGCGGTTGCTCAAAAATTCGCTAACTATTTTCCTGGAATTTGCGAGCGGGATGCGAAATTTCAGCAACGCATATTTTCCGGTGCCCGCCTGCCCCCGGCGATTGTCTGACCTAAGCGTCAAGATAATGTAGTGGGAGCCCGGGCCAGCTTCCCATAGGAACCTCCACGGCGCATACGCATCGCGAGCCAACGCGCGCTCTCTTGGCGCTCCTCATCTCACTTTTGAACAAAAAACATTTTTACATGAAGATAAGAGAAAAATAAGAAGTGGAAACCCCCTAATCTCAGCTCGAGAACGTCCTAAGCAGAAGATAATCTTCACAACTTTCACTAACACTTAGTTTCTAGTCAATCTCACGAATAATAATATATGTATGATATTACTAATCATTTGTGAAAATCATAGAAGCTAGAGAGAAGGGAGCATTTCTGAAACGTTTTCCTTCGGTAGGTAATAAACATGAGAAGTGTAAGCTTGAGAACGTAATTGTACAAAAAAGAAGGTTCAATGTCGCATCGAAAAGGAACTAAAAGCACTTATACAAAACAAACCCATTCGGAGAGATACGTTAGGTCCGTCATAGGAACCCTTGCAGATAGCTCTTCCTAAAATGCACTCAATCTCCACTACCGAAGGAATAAACTAGAACTTTCTGAGATAAAGGCTCCTCAAGACCTCTAAGGCTTGTAAATGCTTTTAGACATCAGCTGTCGTGGGTCGCTTAACCCTAAAATAAAGAAATTACAGAAAAAACAGAGTTAGTAAAGATAGAAAAACGCCTAAAATCCAATAGAGGCGGGATGAAAAGCGCACTGAAGGCATGCGCTGCGTGCGCGGCCCTGAGGTGCATACGGAAAGCTGGCGGGGTCCACACTGTATCTGATGTATGGGAAATAAACTCTACCGAAATGAAAAACCTAGAACTCCGCGAAATTACTTGAAAGAATAACGCTCCTTTTCGAAGGAACTTGGATATGAAACTCATGAGAAGAAAAGACATGGGGTGGAGGACATTAGGTCGCCGAAAAAGGGCGGTCCCCGCGGTCATTTGCGACAAATACGCACCCTTGTACATGCGCGGACATGCGTTCCTGCAGGGAATCCGCGCGGGACTCTTCCAAATTCGGCGACCTAATGTCCTCCACCCAAAGACATGTAGAAGTGGTTGTAAGAAGTTGATGTAGGATTATGGAGAAAATGAATAAAACACTCAAAAGGACTGGCTTATTTTGAATGAACTGGCGCAAGGTTTCTTTGTTTCTTCAAATATCGCTTTCCTGTGGCATGCAGTGGAAAGCGAGAGTTGAAGGAACAGTTGTTGAGGCAGTTTGGCATGCTTCGCTTTCCTGGTACTTTTGCCTGAAATTCGGCTATTGTTTTTAACTTCTTGCTTGTTCCTAGAGGATCATGTCAAAAGCCTGTAAACGTGTAACCTATGTTGCCTGGGAATCTCAGTTTGGATGAAAATCCCAGCTACTTTACCCCGTAGTCCTTTAAATTTTGGTTGAGTCTGGTATGTGTCATCAAATGAGTCTCGTCATAAATTAAAACGACAGAATTCCCTTCACCTCTCTTTACGTTTAGAAACTGTCGTTCTTTAGAATACAGAAGCGTTCAGTCTTTTTTTATTTAGAACAGTGTTTTACATCAATGAAGTGCTATTTCCATTACTCTATGTGTTAACTAAGAAATGATGTTGAGCTGCTGGATACTTCAGAGCTTGGCTTGGCATTGCACCATTACAAAGCAAGCATAGTTTCTGCTGATTCTTGCTCGTTTCCAAATATTGTGCGAACGATTCAACATAGAAACAGTCAGGAAATGGTTATGGTTAACGATGTAATCATATCCAAGATTTCATCCAAATTGCTAACATTCCTTATTTTCTCTGTCTTCAAGCACTAAAAACAGAATACCAGCAAATTTTACAACTGTGTGACCACTTGCAGACCTTTGTCTTTTCAGCAGTGGCTGAATAACCAACGAATAATAGAGGAGATCCTTTTGACGGATACACAAAGAGTCAACGAAGCTGAAGTTTTTGAGGGAGTGGACAAAGACCGAATATTGTCCGACGTGGAGATATCTAAAAGGCAAGTTATTTTTCCTATTGCATGGAATGCAGATGTGTGAAAGCATTCATACGTCTTTCAGAATCAGACGTTATTGAGTCCTGCAGGACAGGATGAGGTGAAAACGAAGGGCTTCGGACAATAACACCCCAAAGAAAAGAAAGAAGAAACCCCTTTGAGTCGTGACGATTCGCTTAGAGCGGGGCCAATGTCCGTTCTCATGCCTTTTCGCTGACGCCCCATAATAATCGAATGTAGAATTTTGAAGCATAAAAATCAAGCTGCTTCACTATTTTCGCTTCAATAGATTATATGATTTGATTTCATGCAAGTAATGCCGTTGAAAGCTCTAATCGGACGAAAACGCTATGAACTTGTTAAACAAGCTAGAGAAATTTGAGTTTAAAGAGTTTACGGTATCAATCTAACTGATACTGAACGTTCTTCAATTGATTCCATTTCAGCCCCTTCATCAGAGAACGAATGGAAAACATGAGGCCTGGTGGAAGCTTGCATGCCGGATTACGCAACTTTTCCGGTGCTTTGATACTAATCAACATTGGAACCGACTTTTGTGATCTGATAAATCCTCATTCGGAGGTACTCTTATATTCAACGAACATGATGTTGACTAGAGATTGATGTTGTGGAATGTATTAGGGTGTCCCATAATTTTTGAGGCTTGAGTAATTATTTAAGAGCGCAAAGCAAGCTGTACAAAATGGCTATCAAGAACCTGTCAAAACCGTATTTCACACGAAGTTTTGAGCTGGAATCTGATAGCAGTCAAAAACAACTTTTTTTAATGAAAAATCATATCTTCGCCCCAAAAAATCTCAAAAATTCCCCATTTATCTTAGCATGTGCTTGACACATCGAACATTCAGTTGTGCATTCCTCGTATTTCTTCCATGGCTGAAAGAAAAAAAAGAATGGGGTAAAGAAGCTAACTCCGCCCCTACGTCATGAGCTCATCCCATGCACGTGATCATATAGCTCATACGTACAGAAGTACGACCATGTTTTTGTAACTTTGTATGTGACCTCAGTTCCCGAGAAATGCTGATATTTAAAATAAAAATAGTAAAAAATCATGGGACACCTTTATATATTGTCATATGTAATACTCGCACTAAACTCTGTTTATATTGAACGCAATGGTGATTTTCGCTTACGTGTGATCTCTTTCCAAACAAGTGTCGATATAACAAAATGGAAGGAATCATGAAGCGTTGTACAAGCGAGTAATAAATGTGATTGTGTTTGTGTTTAATCACAAAACAACGTCGAAATCGTCGTCTTTTGGAGGGAATGCTCTATTGTGTCAAACACGCAAGCACATATGTACACAGAACTATTAGGTTGGCTAGAAAGTTCTTGCGTAATTCAAACAAAATTCAATAACTTTCCAATGACTAAACCTGAATTCACAAGCTTGTTTTCCAAAAATATTAGAAGGCCCGCGCTCCAAGAAGGATGTTTAAGCGCAAGATTTCATGAGCTAGTTTCCGAGAACGAAGCTCTCAAATATGGGACTTCAAAATTTGCAATTTTGAGTTTGGTGCCAGAAAATCGCAGAGTGTCGCTAGCTAGCCGAAAAAAATCTGCAAAAATTACTTATACTGCAAAAGCCCATACATTATTTTAGCAGGCTTCAAACTCGCATGGGAATGCGAAAACAAAAAATTTGTGGAAATTGTCATTTTACAGGATAGATCCCCTTATCGATGTAATTTTTCCACAAAAACACAGTTTGCAACCAGAAATGAGACATGTTGCCTATTTAGAACTTTGCGACGTTTTTTGGAGTGTGAAAAATAGTTTTTGCCGAAAAACTGCGGTAATGAGTGGATTTTTTCCGCAAAATGACTATTTCACGAATTTTTTGTTTTTGCTTCACCGTGCAAGATCAAAGCCTTCCAAAGTAACTTATGGACTTCTGCAGTGTAAGTAATTTTTACAGATTTTTTCGGCTAGCTAGCGACACTCTGCGATTTTCTGGCACCACACTCAAAATTGCAAATTTTGAAGTCCCATATTTGAGAGCTTCGTTCTCGGGAACTAGCTCATGAAATCTTGCGCTTAAACATCCATCTTGGAGCGCAGGCCTTCTAATATTTTTAGAGAACAAGAATGTGAATTTAGGTTTAGTCATTGAAAAGTTATTGAATTTTGTTTGAATTACGCAAGAACTTTCTAGCCAACCTAATATATGGAACTGACACCGAGTAGAAGAATTATTGGATGGCATTTATACTGCTTTGTACTGGACAAATTGTATGATAACTTAATTAGTGGTATAACTAATTTTTGATTTTCTGATTATATCTGTATAATGCATATGTGAGAAGTAACGGAGGTCAGCGCGAGGATTTATCGTCTTCGTACATTTTTAAAGGATATTCCGTGAATGGCTGGAGCGGTCTGTTATGCGGCAACTTTCTGCGTTTAGGTAAAGTGCAGACCAGAAGGCAAGCGTAGCTGTATCTTGTTTTCGTTGACGAAGACTTGGTTCGTCCAAACCCAGCGTTCTGCGATTCATTTTCTTTCCCAATCAGATCTTTGACCGACTGTGTTTCTTTAATTAAAATGGCATTGATCTTTAGACAGTTTATAATACAATGTAACGCATCATCCTGCCACAAAGTTGATTTTGGAGCTTAGATGGGATCAACATCTGTAAAATAGACCGTGAGAATTGCTCAACTTAAGGCACTCCATAACGAAGTTTGTCAAATGCCACCCTGATAAGCCAAACGGCGTTGCATATCCGAGCATAAAAACTCGGCAACGCAGCCCACCAGCGTCACGCAGTCCACCAGCGCGATCTTGGCCGCATTTAGACGTCAAAGCGTCAGCCTGGTCACAAACTCTTTCCTTACTGGAAAGCACCGCTTTTTTTTATTAAAAATTGAATGTAGGCATCCACAGCAACATGGCTGTTTTGTCTATCAGGGAAGTACCCAGATTTCCGTCAAGGGGGGGGGGGGCAAAAGAAGTATTTTTTTGATATGCTTCCTAAAATTTTCGCGGGCCCATAAGTATGAACAAGTTAATTGCACATTTCTATAACTCATGTAAGTAACTATCAAAAATTACGCGACCCAGTCAATGATGTAAAAGGATGTTATACTATATACATAACGAAGAGCTTAAAGAAATCAGAGAAACATTTCGAAACATTGTTTTTTCGAAACATTTCGAAAGAGGGTTTAATATAAGCGGTGAATCACTTTCAAGGCGTATCATTACGGTAATGACATGCATTATTCCTTCCTAGGTAAGAGACAGCCAATGGAGAAAGAATGGCAGAATTTGATGTTCTTATATAAAGATCACATTGTTTGCCCTATATAAAAGCGCATGTATCAAGGTTCAATCCTGTCCACATAGTCATCGATTCATTACCCTAACACTTGAAAACACTCAAAGAAACTCCTTTTATTCACCTGCTCTTCTTTCTTGTTTGTCCAATCTTTGAAAGAAATGAGAATTTCTCAACAACATTACCGACAGCTGTGTTCTCCTTTTTGTACTCAGGAAGACTTCCGCTGTTCTCTATACGCAAAAGCGTACGATTTTGCGCCTGCATCTAGTCATCATCCCGCATCGCCATCATCTCAAATTTCTGGATTTCTAGCTCTGGCGGTTAGCCTGTTTGCATTCTGTGAATACTTTAGTTAACCTATATATGAAGCTCATTGCGTGTATGTCTATTCGTCCATATGTATAGTTAGCCTTCTTAGCCGATCCGGCAATTTGGATCTCTTCACCGGGCGAGCAGGTCTTACAGGCTGCTTTCATTATCGATATACATTAATTATTGATTTATTCCAAACCCCTATCCTTTCATAACGTTGTTATGAAAGGATAAGTGAGCATGCTGATCACGAGTACAGTATTAGTTTTTAATAAAATTTGTTGCACTGATCGAACCATTTATAGCGAGCTTTGAGATGGATTGCTGAGAGGTGATAGGGATTAATTGAGCGTGCTGATTAATAGGTGAGGATTGAGCATGTAGAAGTGACACAGTGGCAGGAGAATGTCATAGAATTGGAAAGGGATGGAGAGTTCTATCACATTATGGCGACAGGAATCGAGAGAAGTTGGATATCCCAGGTTTCAATAAAATTGAACTACCTCTGCAATTGTGTTTCTGGTTCCAAAGGTGAAGTAGAAAATATTAGGTCATTCGGAAAGTTTTTTTCGCTTTTCGCGCCCTTGATGTTGGTGTCATATTTCAAGAGAGTGCCAGAGGACTGATAGGGGTTGCTATATATGTATCTGTAGAGAAAGTCTTCTAGTTTACGAGGATCCCACCGAAATTGCTGAAAGCGCTTCATAGGAAACTTTACGCGGCATTGAATTCGACATATGAAAACGAGATTTTCGAGTATTTGCATTCTCCAAGCTTAAACTTGAGTAAGACAGTTGAGGAAACCATCATTGTGCGCACTGCGTTTGCCAAGATCAGCCTTTCTTAAGGTAGGTTCAAGTTTACTTCAAAAAGTTCTGATCTATAGATGTAAAATCTAATGTTTTGCAGTGTTCTGAAAAGTGTTCCTGCCATATAAACGAGCATCTCAGAGGGTCCTTGAGAGTAAATCTTAATATAGCTGCATAACAGCAGGCGTTGAAGTGCCAAATAGCCCCATCAAAAGCCACCTTCGCTAGAGCTGCAATACCGAAAAATGTCAGTGACATATACCCCACAGATTGTCGCACTCGCAAATTGAGGGCGCGTTGACTCTGCTTTCGTTGCTCATGATTTGATGGAGCAATCGTTTTTTTTTTGGCCTGTGTTATTGATTACAGCAAAAAGTTGGATAAGTACGGCTACAAGAAGCGACATTGTGGTAAATCAATCGCAGTAAGCACTGAATGCAAGGCCAGAACAATCAGGCATTCCAAAAGGTTGATATAATCAAATTAATGTAATCCTTCCAGTCTTGCACGCTATAAACTTGCTACGATGCAACTGTACTGTAAGAGCAGACTAGTGTGATATCGCTGTGAAGAGCGCTTGTCAAAATTTTGAAAGTGAGCAGACTTGCACGTGTGAGCTATGAGAGATGCTATCCTCGCCCATGGGCGCCGCCAAACCACATGTAAGAAAGATGGCTCTCAAAAAAAGAGGGTTGACCGCGAAGCGAGGTCACTATTTATTTTTCGGACTCTTTAGACCTTCCTTCAACAATAAACAAATTTTCGAATTCCTCGATGCCTATTAAAAGAATAATAGGACCCAATAAAGACCGGCTAGTCAAAAACGCCTTATTAGGCTTTATTGATTCCCTTTATATTATTTTGCAAGAGAAAAACACAAGAGCACCACACTTACCAAAAATTTGCTGAACACAATGCGATTCATTTGATGGAAAAAAGTTGAATCTGGAAAAAATCGTACTTTATTGAATTTGAAGATGCGAAAACGAAAAAACTTTCTGAATGGCCTAATATTAGCTTGATTCATAAATACAGGGTGGGGCAAAAGTCTGGGAGCCTACTTTGCAGTGCTGTAAATAAAGAAACTACTGATGATTTTGGCTCTAAATTTGTGTCATATATTGCTGCGATCATACTCTATAAAATTGCTGCGATCATACTCTACAAATCACACTTTGGCTGGCTGAAAATGC